CTTCAACGCGAGCGAAGCCTCTGTCTGTCTGTCCTTATGTATGCTTTGATCTTTAAACCTACGCAACGGATTTTGATGCGGTTTTTTTACTAGATAGAGAGTCAAGAGGAAGGTTTATACTTATAATTCCAAGATGAGAAATGTAAAGACAGTAAAATTGCTCATAGGTAATTATCGCATTGAAAGCCATACCGTTCGCCTAGTTGATGTTTTTTTGCCAACCTTCGAGACACCTCTATCTAGCCAGAGGAAACGCGAGAAATGATTTTACCTCACGCTTTTCTCCTTTTGGGTCCGGAATGGGCAAATCAGTATGGTTCATCATGACTTCACAAAAGTAATATTAAATGGAAGTATTATATCCCTGTGATCCGTGATCCGTCTGGTGAGTGAGGTAGCGAGGACCCCGTTTGTAATAAGGTGGCAACGCAACTGGAACGGGTTTTGCAAATGTCAATAGGCGGCGGTTATCCCTTAATATGTAACATCATGTGAAACGCCAGTTCGCCTGCCGCCCTACTCTCAATTCCGTGTAATGTGCGGACGTGGATGTGTAGCAGCGTTTCAACGGTGTTTCAATGTGTTTCAACGGTGGTAGGGCCGCGTTTCGTCTGGTGAGTGAGGTAGCCGGAGCCCAATTTTCAAAATGTTGTCAACGCATCTGTAACCCTCGGGTATAAAAGATGTCCATGGGCGGCGGTATTCACTTAACATCAGGTGAACCGTCTGCTCGTTTGACAACTTTTTGTAGCACTGTAATGTATGTTACATTCCGCGACATTCTAGAAATTTCTAGCGCTAGTCGCATGTCAGGATCGATCGCGGTGGAGCGTAAAAGACCCCGCAAGCGCGACCTCGGCCGCGGCCCTAATAGCGCTCCTATGTCAAGGGCGACAAGATCGGGTTTCGCGCGGACAGCTCGCTCCGGCCCTAGTTCATAACGTCCCGGGGCAGGCAAACAGACGTCTGAGCACAACGCTACTCTATACGGCACATCGACCATAATCCATCATGTGGTAGGCAGAGATTGCTGTTGTCTTAAGCTTTTACCGAGCTCAATGACGCCTTTAATTACAGCTTGCGATTCATCGATAGTTACATTCGAAGAACTTGTCACTTATTGCCACTGGTGATGAATCCGGGACTTTAGACCGCAGCCAACATCCCAACCATTAGGTATGTTTAGTGGAAGCAGTCTAGTTAAACATGCCAACTGGCAGGCGACAAAAAATTAAGCGCAATTTGTTATTCAAAAAAGGATTGTTAAGAGTCACGTAATATGCGTTTTTAATTTAAATAATTTGAAGTATAAAATTTAGTCAAAGCCCTTCCAATTCCTTTGGCATGTCAATTTATTTATAAGAAAATAGTACAAAAATAAATCATTATTTTTGTTTTTTTAAGAGAAATTCCAATTTACGTAACTACGTTATTCCAATCCTTTTTATATCTATCCTGTCCCATTTATTCACAAAATACAAACTGATTACAATAAACAATGGTCTTTTATAATGATTACAACATTCACAGAGATTTTTTTGTAGAATGTATAAATATTATATTAATTAATAAATAATCGAATTAGACAGTCTGCTTTGAATATACTACCTGACTAGGAAAATTATATTTAATATCGACATCGTATCTTTTATTATAATTATAACAATTCAAAATAAGTACCTGGAGGACCGAGCTTTGCTCGGATTTTTCTTGGTAAATCATGTATTTTGGAAATAAAAAAAATAAAAAAATAAAGAAAATGATCTGGTATAGAAAAAAAATTATAACTAAATTTCATAAAAATTGCTGGAGCCGTTTCCGAGAATCCAGTTCCAGATTTTTGGGACCGATAGTTGACAGATTAAAAAAGACGGCAATAAAAGGCAATAATATCTATTGAATTTAGGTAATGAGTCTTTGCGTCTTAACATGATGTTAAAATAAAGTAAGGGCTAGGAATAGGATAGGCTAAAATGTAAAATAAAAAGGCAATGCATATTTTAATGTCAATTAAGGCCGCGAGTGGGCGCTAGTGTACGGTACCTAAAATTTACCAACACTGAAAGCAAATAAATATATAAGCGGTGAAATGTCGTGTTTCATCAATTCACTTTATTTTGCAAAGGACAGACGGCTTTGAAAATCTATATGTATATTCAAACGTAAATAAATACCTTTGAAACCTGAAACATCAGAAAGCTTTCACGTTTTTGCGACGTCGCCTACGCAGTTGTATGAAACGACAGTGTAGGAACGTGATAAAAGTATTGTTTTTTTTTTTTATGTGAAAAGTTGCCAAACGAGCAGACGGTTCACCTAATGTTAAGTAAATACCGCCGCCCATGGACATCTGCTACATTCGAGGGTTCCAGATGTGTTGACAACCTTTTGGAAATCGGGCTCCGGCCACCTCACTCTCCCGACGAAACGCGAAAGTATTATACTTCCACTTTACGCCGGTCTATTGTAATTTGAAATTGACTTCATTACGGATCTCGTTAAAACCTAAGAAGTATGTCAATTTTTTTAAGATCAACCAAAATTTTCCATTTAGAAAAGTCTTCGTTGGAAACTAGTGTCTCGTTGGGATAAGTCCACGCATTCTGTCTAGTTGACTTGACTTACTTACTTATTATTAATTAGGAAATCATATGATTTCCTAATTAATAATTTCTAAGAGCCGTGATAGCTCAGTGTCCGGGCGCTCGCCTTTAATTCAATATACTCGAGCAACCTGTGTTCGATCCCCGGTGCCAGCACCAATGAAGTGAAGGTTTCTTTCGTTTTTCCGCGGCGAAGGAAAACATGGTGAGGAAACCTGCATATTTTCGAAATAATAACAAAAAAAAAATATTTCGAAGATAAGTGAAGTCCGCCAATCCGCAGTGGGGCCGCGTCGTGTACAATGCCCTGATACCCTCTGTATAGAGGAGGCCTTTGCCCAGCAGTGGGACATGTAGGTATAGGCTGTAACTTTAACTAATTAACTTCTTAATATAAGATGGTATTATATTATTATCCATCTTGTATTCTTTAAAAGGAAAGTAGGATATCATACTAGCTATACTATATACTACTTTTATTTTAGTACATTATTGAAGCGCTTTTGAGGCATCATTAAATTCCAAGTAAAATATTACGAATGCAAGAGTTTTTATGAAAGATTAAATGAAATTCGAGTGAATCGTATTTATTACGATGAAAAGTTTCCAAGATTTTTTTGGTCAAAAATATGAATTTTGTTGATGAAAAAATAATTAAGTTTTTTTTATTACGCAGCGCTTTTGTAGCAATGGCCTTTATGCATCTGATTCGATAAAAATAACAGTAGGTTAACAGAAATAGATATATTTTATGTAATCTTAAAATTACTATGGTTATTAAAAAGGGAATGTATTTTTTTTACGACGGTGTTGGTACAGTCGAATGGAAATTAATTACTCAGTAGATATTTCTCTTCTCTATGACTTCGAACTGTACTCCTCCTTTCGACTTGTACTCCTAACCTCCGCATAAAGAAATGATCTTTTTCTTTGGGCTGGATGAGCCACTGTTGCTTTTGTTGTTGGCCTTAGGGGCCTTTACAGATCCGACGGGCTTGAGGTGGCCTGACGCACGGGGCGCCTAGCCTGAACCTCGGCGTATTAATAATACGCGTTATGGTGACTAAGCTCGAGGGCTCCCGAGAAAGCCTCGGCTCGGGCCGTCACGCTATCATTATCACCGGTTTGGAAGGCCGCCTCTTAGGGCGCTTTGGCGGACGCTCCATGGAGTGACCAGGCTCAAGGGTCCCCGAGAGGGGACGTCGGCTTGGGCTGTCACTCAATACGCGTTTAGCATTCCGATTCGAGAGTGCCCACGAGGGCCGGACCTCGGCTCGATCGGTAGCTATTATCTTACTGGGACGTGACGAGTCACATCAATCAAGTATAGTACTAAATATCTTTGGCAGCACTAAGCTAGCATTAGTTACATCTTAAAAGCTGTCTCTCCCTTCTCTACAAAAGTCTAGAGATGTTTATTTGTAATTTCATCTCTTTCACGCATTATTTCAACAAGTTTAAATGCGCCTCATACACGGGATTTCCATCGAATTTCCCGGCATTTCCAATGCTTACACAGCGAAAAAGAAGCTGGAGAGGCTATATATATATAGTACGCGTAATTATCTAGCTGAACAAAATGGCATAATCCAGAGGCAAACAACTCACTGGCTGGGGTTTAAAAGCGCCATCTTCAGGCTCGCGTTCGCCGTTCGGTTTCAAAAGACGTGAAAGTTTTCTTTTAATAAGATAGCGTACGAAACTAGTATGTTTTTATTTTATGAGTGTGTTAATGGTAATAACAAATCTCGCCTGGTTTATTTGTTTATCTATGTATCATAAAGTTAATTTTGCGAAACTTTACCACGCAGGAAATCTATAAAAAAACAGTGTGAAACAGTGTATTCAGTCTTTAGTAGGGAACTATTAAAATTCACAGTCTAGTTCACTGCTTCTAGGCTTATAAATAATAAACCTCTAAGTTTCTATTAATTTTTTGAGACATATAAAATAAAAGTAAGATGATAATTCTGGGCTGTATGGTGATATGTCATCAGTTCCGCGCGTTTTTATCCGTTTTCTTTTTGTTTTATTTACACTCGGTTTCTAAAACACTGATCATCGTATTTTTAGAAAATGTCCTTTTATCCCTGTTTTCAGGAAATGAAAAATATCATTCAAATATGACAGTAAATTTCGCCGCAAAAAAATATGTTATAATAGCTCGGTCGGTAATCGGGCGGCCGCAAAACAGACAGCCGCGGATCGTATGACGATCATTTACACACTTATTTCTTTTACTGTTTTTTTCTATACCAGATAATTTTCTTTATTTTTTATATTTTTTATTTCCAAAATACATGATTTACCAAAAAAAAACCGAGTTAACCTCGGTCCTCCAGGTACTGTTGCCAAAAGTATTGTTAAACACTTCTTTGATCAAGTCATTGTTTCAGAATGATGACCGGTGTTTCAGGAAGCGGGCGTTAGTATTCTTTGCAAATAACCACATCTTTATTTACAGTAGGTAGGGAATAATTATTTTTATAATGAAAGAGGGACACCAATAAAATTTTATCTATAATGAACCCGTCTAGCGCCAGACACCTACCCATTCTTGGATATAAATAGTTTATTTGTAGCGGGTCTTCTGTGAGGTCGTGGTAACCCACCCTTACCCGGACGAGCCTGACCATTCGTGCAACAGCCGAGGCTGCTGCGTGGCTCTACAACCGTAAATATGTGCGCGCGCATCGTATTTTCACTCTATTTTTTTTTCGAAACGCGCCAAAAGAAGTACCTATATTATTTCAAAAGTGCGTCTTGAAGTAATAACATATTATTTATTCATGTTTTCGTGAAGTGCTAACATGTTATTATATAATTTTATTTTATTTTATTTTATTTTATTGAGCAACAAAATCCACAGCCTTTAGTTGTTTACATCTATATCAGAACAACACGTTACATAAAGATTTCGTGAGGGCTTCTTATGGACGTGGTTTTGCGCTCTCGGCTCTCTGCCAGATGACCGCAGACTATGCATCTTGCGCAACACAATGTGCCAACGGCCCCTCAATGCCGCCACATTCTCTTTCCTTCAAATCGCGTCATCGCATTTCGCACGTTGGCTACCAACAAACATTGGATCAAAATAAATGATCGCGCGATTAACGCGATACGGCATATTTTATTGTATTAATTAATTAAAACCATATTTATTATAACATACATAATATATTTACAATTAAGTTGGAAAATGGGTGGCCGTATTACTTGGAGAGATTGCTAAACTATGAAAGACTTAGCCCAAGGATATGGAGAAAAATTTAAATTTTCACTCACACCCATATGAGAATTAAGAACTTAATCCAAATATAAATATATAAGTTTAAATTAAGAATTTCAACTTAAAATTCCGAATATAGAATATAGACAAAATATAGAATTATTTCTATATTTTGTATAAATATAGAATTATTTCTATATTTTGTAGGATTTCATTTATGAAGTTATCGTTATTAAATCCTCTGGGGCGTAGTTGCCAGCACGGACAAGTAGTTAATAACATTGTTGGGCTAAAGTAGATCAACTTTATGGGGGAAAATGATGTGTATTGATGATTAACCTGTACATACTGTTGTTAAATTCTTGTGTAGTATGTTTCTAATCATGCATCTTGTAACTTCTTTTCATAATTAATATTAAACAATTCACACGTTTTTTGATGTTCGAGTATAAAAAAGCTGTGATGATGTTTTGGTACTTTGAATTTGATATTATAATTCGTGACATAAAATTCCCGTGGTATGTAACCAATTACATGTTTATCAAATAAAAAATCACAGATCCTTATCGAAATTTTGGCCAGACTGCCACGAAGCGGGATCCTGAGCCACCTGCATCCATTGATTTCCCGCAAGTTAGGACGTATAATATAAAATAAAGAGTTTACTACGATTTTTTTTTCTGATGAGAGAACATTAGTCTTTATTCGTATTATAGCCAGCTTGCGATAAAAAAATTAAGATTTTATTAAGGGATCAACTTTTTCTTTTCAAAAAATGTATGTCCAGTTTTTGAAGGTGGTGATGACCTATAGTGATTCTGACCCTAGCTCCGCGCCTGAGTTTTCTGTCATTTGGATTTTTCGGTGAAAATATCACTCATATTCTTCACACCATAATATACTCAAGTTTAGAACTACGTAAACTTGTTAAAACATAAACGGTATCTCTCTTCTCCCAAGGATTATGTAGGGATATCATCTGTTACCGGGGTATATTTTTTACATTTTCGAAATCACATTTAGAAGTTGACTTCTTGATTTTACGCGTATATTATACATGTCAAATGAAACTAGTTTACTGATTTTATCTCTTTATATTTTATGTCTTCAAGACATGCAACAACCTAGTATGTCCCTGTACCATGAACCCGTTCATAAGGGGGGTTCAAAAGGTCCGAAACGTCGAGAATCTCAAAACAAAATAATAACGCGATAAAATCCCTAAACTAGTTTCATTTAATAAATACATTAAGAAATGTTAAAATTAATTTGGAATTCATAAGTTTAAGAGGTTGACCTAAGCGTCACCTCATAAATGGCGCCACCACTAAAGTAAAGTTAGTTATTTTGAAAGCATTCATATATATCTGGTAACAGGACTTCGCGATAACTTCGACTTAATACATTTCTTGCTACATGGTCGTATATTGTAACTTTAACCGTGCACGCTGTAGATACAGACCATTCGCAATAAATTGGAAAATCAATGGATTTTTACGCATGACTCAAAGGGGTCCTCATGGGTAGTATAGTGTTGCCTTTTCTTTTCATTATTTAGTACATACCTATTTGAAGCCTAAAATAAAAATATTTACACATTTGAATATTGTCATCATATCTTATAAGTGCACACAGTTCAACAATATTTTATACATATACAATAAATACAAGCACATTTAAAAAAGAAAGGGACGGAAGCGAAAAGACTTTAATAACTAATTTATAAAAACCTATGTACATATTATTCGCGCCTTAAATTATGAATGTCGAATTAACTTATGAATAAATTTGGGCGGGCTTAAAAATTCAATTAAAACATGAAGCAATGCACCGTTGATGTATTGTAGAAAAATAATTGTACCTTTTTATTTTGTGTTGCGCTCATATTATATACAAAATTTAAATTTCTTACAGCCATACAGTGATACAAAAATGATATTTAATAGGGAGGGATAGAAAAAAAAAGACTGTTTAATGGAATGACGACAATAATATTATACTTAAGCCTAAACCCCTGGCGTATAGCGTGCTAGTGAAAGGCCGATCGACGCGACCCGCAAACCGAAACGTCAAATGTTTTTAGAAAAAAAAAAGTGAAAGTGCCGCGAACGCGCCAGTGTCGGACTCGGGACTGTCAGTGTGCGACGCGTTCCCGCGCGCCGTGAACGTTTTCGCGCGTATTTGTGCAGTCACCGACGCGAGTGGAAAATTGCCGGAGCCTCCGGGCGAAGAGGCTTCCCTCTTGGCTGTGTATTTATTATATCGCGAGGCAGTCCGCCCCCGGCGCTCGGCCAATGACGCAGTGGGCGCCGCCCCCGCTAGGCAGCGCGCCTCTCTGCTTCCTAACCTTGCTCCTGCTACTGAGCGCCGGTAAGTCGATCCTGTTCTTGCGAATCGCGTTCGGAAATTTACCATAGCCGATCCGATTAAAATTTTCTCAGAAGTCAATTGAATATCGATATGCCGTAGTACATTTCCGAACGACGACGATGACATGTGTTTGGAGTTTATAATGTTGTTTGCTTTTAGGCGACAAGCTGTATCAATGTAATCAATCGGGTTGTGCGATTTTCACGACCCTTTTCAACTCTGGCCATTCACCTACAATTTCTCCTCAAGGCCGAATTTGAAAATATTTCTAGGTTCGCACTTAAGGTCACCCTTAAGCCACCAATAAGCCGACCCGATTAGCCTAATGGCATAGCGAACTTTTCCCTTACCTCTGAGGCAGTGGGTTCGATCCTCACTATTTGAAATTGTTGTGTGAAGAACAGTGATTTTCCAGTGTCTGGCTGTTTATGTATCTACATATATGTATTTATTTGCAAAAGAAAGATTTTAGTATGTTTATAATAGTATAAGCTTTGGTTAGTTTGGAATTAAATAGCCTTATAAAAATGTGTGCAAGAAAAACTAATAACACGCAAACAGTGGCTCGTAGACTAAGGAGAAAGATTCCCCAAGACCTTTTCTGAAAGGCACATGAATAAAGTAGCAGTCACTGGACGGTAATCGTGCAAACCCCTCTCATCTTATACATATTGCTTAATATCTGCAAATGGATAGATCACAATAATGACATTAAAAAAAAGAAAAACTAATAAAATAGAAAAAACTTAACTGCTAGTCGATTGCCTCGTTTTAACGACCTTTAACCAATAAGCTTCCAACTACGGATTTGTCGCTAACTCCGCCTGAATACAGCCGTTTGCATTTTAAAATTCAACAAACTAAATACCATCAGTAACTGTAGAAGTCGCCACTTGGCGAATTTTCCCTTTTTGGTGGTCTATGATAATAGTATAGAGACAATTTATACATAGTCTGGATTGAACGGTTTAGTCTAAACAAATATTATTTAAACATGGTATTCAACATTTTAACAATTCAGGTCCGTCTAGGAAAGTAACACGAACTCGCAGAAGACCAGTGCGAAGTGGAAGTGTAATACAGAAGTATTAAATAAACGCAGAAGCGTTTCGTCCTTTGGGTAAGGTGGCAGCGCATCTGCAAGCTTACGGGTGTTGCAGATGTCCATGGGAGGCGGTCGTTTATCAGCTGACATCAGTTGAACCGCCTGCTCTCTTGTCACCTTCTCACATCAAATGGTAATCGGTAAAACCGAACAGTAACCTTGATGATTGGCAGACCACAACGTGCGCTTTTCACAGAATTCTAAGGTACCATAAAGGCGGGTTAATTCATTTGTGACTCCGGTGGTGTTGCCAAGGTCCATGGGCTGATAACTTACCGTTAAGCGACCAGATTGAACCTTTGCCTACTTTCCATAAAAAAAAATGTCATTTTCCAAGTTTTTGTGGTCGTCTCTAGATTTCGTAATATACCTTTTACGTATGCGTTATGCAAAAAAAGAACTTAAAAAGATTAAAAAACCTTATTCAGATCCCGTTTTATAAACATAACTGTAACTTTCTTAAATTTAGGCGATTACACGTTATAAATGAAACTAATTTTTACGGATTTATCTCGCGTTTATTTTTAATTTTAATTCCCGACGTTTCGAACTCTTTACAGCGCTCATGGTCACGGGACAGATCTGTCCCGTGACAGTCGGTGTTCTCGGTGTTCTTTTGCAAGGATCTGTGGTTTGTCAAACATGATGTAGTGGTTGGGCCTATTCAAAATGTGCTCACAAACTGCAGACTTGTTCAATCTATTGTTTTATGTCAGCTATATGTTCTTTCACGCGGGTTTTATTGCTCTTTTTGTTTGTCCTATGTAAGAGAGCCCACATTCACAGTCAAGTTTGTACACTCCTGGATCTTGCAGAGGGATATTACACTTGACAGATGGTAACATTTTGAATAGGCCCAACCACTACATCATGTTTGACAAACCACAGATCCTTGCAAAAGAACACCGATTCCTCCCAAGGATGATTCGCGAGGCTATTGAAATTAAAAAAACACCCTAATTTCAATAGAGAAGAAGGTTGGGTACTACCATCAGCTTGGGATCCTGTCATCAATAAAATTAAATCTAGGCCCAAACGAACCACTACTGCAAGACAAGATACGTAGCCCGGGTTAACTATGACAATCAGACGTCTAACACCTCAGTCTGTCCCGTGACCATGAACGCTGTAAAGGGTTCGAAACGTCGGGAATTAAAATTAAAAATAAACGCGATAAATCCGTAAAATTAGTTTCATTTATAATGTAACTGTTCGTAATAACCATTTCATATTTCGACTGCAGTCTTCACTGAGCGCTACTCGACCTTAAGCGTAATAGTACACACCTTTGTATGTAATATGTATGTATGTAATAAACGCGTTGCGTAATTAAGATCATGGCAACTCAAATTGCCGTGATAGCTCAGTGTCCGGGCGCTCGCCTTTAATTCAATATACTCGAGCAACCTGAGTTCGATCCCCAGTGCCGGCACCAATGAAGTTTTTAACTTTAAGTGCTGACTTATCACGTGCTCCGCGGTGAAGGAAAACATCGTGAGGAAACCTGCATTTTCGAAATAATAATAATAACAAAAAAAAATTTTCGAAGATATGTGAAGTCCCCCAATCCGCAGTGGGGCCGCGTGGTGGACTATGCCCTGATACCCTCTGTATAGAGGAGGCCTTTGCCCAGCAGTGGGACATGTATAGGCTGTTACTTTACTTTTTACTTTACAACTCAAATGTCAAATAAATCCGCCGAACTCGATAATACGAGCTTACTGCGAGACACAGGTATGTTTTAAATAATATCGAATCACAGATCATAATTGTGTTGTTATTATCGGATTCTCATCTCTGTTGTATTTTTTGTGTCTGTTACCTCAGAACTCCGTATAATACAAATGTATTTGTATAGTCGAAATTTTTGAATTTATTCGTCCCATCGTTCATATTGTGTAATATATAATCTGTCTGTCTGTCTCTCCGTCTGTTCGAGAGTCTTCAAGGCAAAAGTGAATAGGCGGAAAGCAAGCGTATTTACAACTAACGACGGTACCAATTACCACCAGGCGGGATGGAACTCACGCCCGAGACTCCGCTATGAATGAGTAACCCGGCACGGACGTCTGACAGTGTTTTTGCACGAAATAGATCCTTGAACCGGAAACTTGACCAGCGACTTGGAACCCCCTATAAGAATGCAATCCAACATCAAATTCATCATCTTTCCATCGTTTGGAGAGTACATGCTGAAATAAAGTAACTTAAGTTTTCTTTTTATGTGAAAATTTGCCAATCGAGCAGACAGTTCACCTGATGTGAATTCTGCCACCCATGGACATCTGCTACACCCGAGGGATCCAGATGCGTTGACCTTTTGAAAATTAGGCTTTAGTTCTATTGGATGGATGTTTATGACAAGTTTATGTTGTTACATTAGTTAATTTTTCGGTTGCATCTAAGACATAATGACTCGGTGGCGCCGTTGCTAAGCTATTCGCTTCGGCGTCGCGAATCGTGGGTTCGATTCCCACACGGGACAACTGTTTGTGTGACCCACAGATAATTGTTCCCGATCTGGGTGTATGTTTACCAAAGAAAGGTGACGTCAGGTGGCCAATCGTAAAGAACAGCCAAATCCGCTTACAACATGATTCACATGTTTCCCCACCGAGTTGGGATAAGGGGTACGATGATGAACATTGTTGGGTCTTCGCGATATACTTGAGTGCCAGACGTATATTCCATTTCCACTGGACAAGTATTTGTATGACCTACAGATACGGTTTCTAGGTGTTTGTCCTTGATCGGCATGCGCTTGTAAAACTTCTGTTATCCTATATTAATTTTATGTTTTGATTAAAGTAAGTAAAAACATTACGACATTCGATTGCTGTTAAACTATATTAGTCATATACATGAGCCTGTTATGACTTAATTTATTACTGCAACTGTTTAACATTAAACGCCGTGTGTTTATAAGTGGTTAAGGTCAAATGTCTGCGTTTACTGTGAAATAGTAAATAATAACTACACAGTTAATACAATAACCATTCATTTTAATCTTTTATCAAATAAATATCTATCCGATTCGCGATAATACTTTGGTGGCTATTTGGGCAGTACCCTTTCCAGGAACCAGGCTTTGGAAAACTTTATTAGTTATATACAAAAGTATCATGTTATACAATACTAAACAATGTAGTCATGATAATCGCTGTGTAATATTTGATGTCTCTACTCTCCTGTTATAAAACAAATGGAGTTAAAAAAGGATTTTGGCAAAATAATAACGAAAGTATCGTGTTATACAATAATATATGGTATAGTCATGAGAGTCGTTGTTTAATTTTCTTAATGTCTCTCCTTTTATAAAACAAATATAGTTAGCGTAACCTAGTATATTAACTGGCAACAATGGTCCGCAATCGAAAAGCTGCAGGGGAAAGCCCCGTCGAGATTAGAAGATTAGGGGAGCTGCGGGCCGCGTCCGCCGTATTTAACGTCGTATTGTTACAAAGAAACAATAAATCGCAATAGCAACTCCGCTGAGCGGTTTGCTTGCAAGTATTAAGGGAGAAAAGCGCGCCAAAAGTTAGTTTATAATCTGTATAATCAAAAAAAAAAAAGAGCGCTCCAAAACCGCATTTGTAACCTGTACAATGTTACAAACAGCGCGATCTCTTACGATATGTTTTATAATCATTTTTTTTTAAATACATTGCCCTTACTTTATCCTGTGTTATACAATATGTGCGTTATACTCCTGTGTTATACTTTATACTATAACATTATCCTGTGTTGTAAGGACGTTTTACAAACATAAATTTCACGCGGACAAACACCCAGATACTAAACAACTATATTGTGGGTCACACAAATAGTTGTCCCGTGTGGGGATCGAACCCACGATCCCCGACGCCGAAGCCAATACCTTGACAACTGCGCCACGG